GTCATCATAATTGAAATGTGGTTTGTGACTACTCTTTTTGAGATGCAAGAATAGGAATGACCAGTAGATGGAAGCAGAGTCCTAAGAGTTTTCTGTATCTCTATGCTGCCATCTAGCAGTCATTTGGACTTTTGCAATTTTGATCTGATATGTCTAGTGTATTGTATTGTTCTTATAACAGAAAGAAAATGGATTTAATTATAAAAGGAAGGAGCTGCTTACCAGACTATTATGTTTCAACTGCACAGTAAGATAAGGTTGTAAGTGTGTGTGTGTGTGTGTGTGTGCACGTAGATATGTATATGTGTGTAGTTTATAGTGTTTGCCTAGTTCATATGATTTTAAAGGTTTTTCTGCTATTTTTGGATTGAAACCGGATGTGTTGTAACTCCCATTTTGCAGGTCATTAGAAGTTGTTGTCTGGTTTATTCTGCAACTATTTTATGATGAGTTAGAAAGGTCCATACCAGGATAATCAGGACTTTCTTATTAAATAGGACTTCAAAACAAGAAGTTGCAACCAAGACATATCCTGGGCATTGTCAGGGATCTAATACATTCCACCAGAATGGATTCATTTGTGACAGAGAAATATTAAAAAGAAATGCATGCCACAGGAAACAAAGTGATATTTCAAAAATAGATTTAATGGAAGAATTGTTTTCAAGAGGAAGTTCATTCATAAACCATTTAACCAGATCCATGTGGCTTTCATTCTTGAAAATAGTTTTATAATTTTTTTAAAAAGTTATCTCTGGGAATCTGCTAAATAGGGCATTTGGCTTATGAACTTCAATGTTAAATATTTCTTACGGAATGATACTAACCCAGGCCTACCATGTTTCAAATATAAAAATCCATATGATTATGTGATGACAAAATCTTTTTAAAATCTCAACAGCATCTAGATTTTTATTACCATCTCAAGAAGTCATTGGGGGGCGTGGAGTGGCTGGCTGTCCAGACATGGGTCTAACTAAATTCTTGTGGATTGATTGAAAAAAACGACCCCAATGGGCAGGTCTGTTGTGTAGCTGATATGGTAAATGCGACCCTATATATGCCCACTTAGAACTAAAATGAATTCAATTACTGCCATATAATTGGTTTGCCATGCAGTAAATATAATTCTTATGAGCATCTGCCTGATAAAAATCAGTGAACACTCTTAATTCTCATTGTAAAATATTAAGAGGGAGAACAGAGGGAGAGAAGCTAATATTTCTTATATTTTAATCCTTCTAGTAAATCTGGGTGAACAGCATATTCAGTGCCATGGAATATATCAGGAATAAATTTTATACTGCCAAACTGCATGTGAAACAGGATTTCATTACTGGAACTTCTGACATCTTTGCCAAAAGTAATTATTAAGTGGTCCAAAGTGTTTTAGTAGTCAAGAAAGGCAATGCATACAGCCCCAACGTTTTTATCTATCCAATTTTCATCTAGGCCAATACCATAATCGTGCATCTATATCTCTGGATAATTTTACCATTAAATTGAGAAGGACTTTCTTCTGAAACATTTTTACATTGGATTGGTGATAATGAGAACAAAGACACCTGGAAATCTTAGGCAGGAGAGAATTTTGCAGGATCCAAATAGCCAGTTCCTGCTAGTTCAATGAAAACTAAGGTATACAGGCTATCGATGATAACCAATCTCCAATGGCAAATATTGGTGGAAGAAATAGACTTGCCTTGTAGGAAGGCAGTGTAGGGCTTCACATTCAGCCTGGGACAGTTTAGGATAAGGGAAAGCCTAGAAATATCAGGGCTGATATATTTTATGGTTAAGTTCATGTGGATATTGATTGAAAAGAAACCACACAATTTTACATCAAGATCCTAAAGCAATGCAGTTGACACAAACTGGAATAAAAAAAATTATAAGTATTTACTGCATGTAGTTAGTGTTTGGAATTGGGTCAGCGCTAAGCTATGTTTAAAGGAGTCTACGGACAGTGACCTTGAAGTATGAAATGGTTTTTAAAATATCAGGGTACAATACGAACATTTTCCTAAATCCTTGGTGTGTAGCTAAATATGTATGAAAGTATTGGAGGAATCTGGGGGGAGGAAAGAAAACCCTTGTTTGCTCTGTCCTTTTCAGGCCTAAAATTCAGTGGGTTGCTTCTTGTTACAAAACTACTGTGAGGTTGGTTGTTCAGGGAGACATAGGTTGAAAATAACCCAAACTCAGATTATGCATATTTAAATCTAGGCCGCTTCAGAAGAAAAAGAACATTTCCCTGTAAGACCTTTTGACTAGTTCAGAATAAGCTCTGGCCATTATCTGATCTCCTGCCTTTGGACTGATTTGCACTGCTGTAGGGGGCATGCATAAGCGCACCAATGTGCCTAGCGTCCCTGTCCTATTGTTTCTTTTATTTTTCTTATATGTACCCATTTCATGTATTCATAACTATATATATACTTATACCTATTATCTTGTAAGCAATTGACAAATCAAATAAATAAATAAAAATAAAAATAAATAAAACATCTCAAGGACACTCCACCTATGGTGGTGCAGGGTAAGAACAGATGATGTCATCCTCAGTCTGCCCTTAATATGGGAGGCCACCTCCCCATTCGATATTACACAAGCACTCTGATCTTACACAACTATTCCGAGTGGTTGTTACGTACTTTGGGAGATGCCCCAATTTTGCTCTGGACACCATTTTGTTTTAGGCTTTGAGGCGGTCTGACATAGAAGGTTCTTTTCCTGCAAGTTCAGTGGCAGAGTGGTGAAATGCCTTTCTTTTTAAAAGAAAGAAAGAAAGAAAGAAAGAAAGAAAGAAAGAAAGAAAGAAAGAAAGAAAGAAAGAAAGAAAGAAAGAAAGAAAGAA